CTGTCCATCTTGGGTGGCCCCGCAGGGCATAGCTCATAGCTACACAAGCCCCTTTGTCACGACAAGGCAATGATCCAATGAAGGGGTTTATCAGATGTTAAATACTAATGATATATCATATTGTAAAAATTCTTGTTTCAAATTATAGTTTAAAGTGTATTTTCAATCCCTTACTCCCCATATTCTCCGACTGATGCAGCATTTTATCTCCTTTTTTGCTCAATTAGTCATTCAGTCTTTAATTCATCTTGTATGTTCATTTTCATTAAAAGTCTATACATCTTGGCAATAATATGTTTATCATTAGTACTCAAACCAAATTCAGTTTTGTCATTTGTAAAACCAAAACTACTCTTATGTACTTTAAATCTATCAATTGAACATAAGCAAACCATTAATAGTAAAACTCTCCTTTTCCAGTTCTTCTCTTGTTTTTAATTTAAAGTTTTCTTCAGAAAAAGTAAGTCTGCTTAAATCAACCGAGTTGTGTGGTTATCGTTTCTTTTCTATGAAAAGGGGTAGCAACCAAAAGGAATTTTGGACATAAATCTTGCGTTATACCTATTCCATACCTTCAATATGGCATACCTAACAAAGTGATGTTGAAAATTTCTATTAATTTTGTCATTACATAGATAGATATGCCACCCATATCTCAAATCATATCCTTCTAACTCCAATAACTCCCTCTCACAAGAAAGTTGATTCTAACATAAGAAAAAGCAATAGAAAAAACAAGCAATATTGAAATATTAGCAGGTGCAAGAGATGTAGCCCATGTATTTGATTACATTTATGAGACTGCATTAATATATTAAAAATGAATGTAGTAACATAATACATGATAGTCAAAATTAATATATTTGTAAATAAATGCTTGTAGCATTCTATGCGTAATGAGTGAGACTTGTCATAATCCAGTATAAGATTAAATGTCTGAGGCAACATTTCATATTATATACAACTGGAAGATCACTCAGATTGCAGGAAGCTTCCATTTGGGCTTTCAATAGAGAATAGCAATTTTTGTGTGGATAGGTCAAACCATACACTTCATTTTACAAGTTATACTATTCTGAATACTGTAAGAGGAAAGTTGTTTGATCTATTGTAGCCAAAATCATGAGCCAATAGCTTATGCCTTTTAATAAATGTTAGTCTGGAGAAATGCTCCTCCTCATTTTTACTCTGCACATTTAAATTGATGTCAGACCCATTATATGATTGGGTTAGATCCAAAAGTAACTGCAACAGTTTATACATCCATTTTATTTATTAAAATTTTCCAGATATGAGAATTTGGGCTACTTCCAAGGATACATGACTGTTCTTTCATCTGAAGCTATTTTTAGCACTAGCTTGGGTACTAGCTTGGATTGGTAGGTGGTAGTTTGAAGATCAGATGTAACCTTTTTCTTATCAATTTAGATTTAATCAGGTTGGAGTGATGATCACTATAATTTAAAGGAAAGCTCTTTGAAGTAGAATAAAGTGCCTCATACATAAAAAATAACAGTTCATAGTAGCTATCTGCTAATTTTAAAACTCTTGGCATAACCATCATTAACAGGTCAATTTTTAATTTTCAAAATTCAAGGAATCCATATCTGAACAGTTTGAACACCAATGAGATTTGCACATCTAGTACAGCTAATAATGATGAGTTATAGTTACTAGATATGTATCCTTAGAAGTATAAGTTTCTTTAGACCTCAAACTGGTAAGCATACATGAGGCAAGAAAGAAAAGGAAAGATAAAAACACAATGTTAGGAATAGATTTTTGAAGCTATACTCTGGATGCCACTTGAATCTAAATTAGTTAGGTGAAATGGGAGTAGTAATTTTCATGGATTATTTTGCTTTCTCAGCCCCTCCTCTCAATTGTTTTTAACAGGTAGTCCTTTACTTACCATCACAATTGGGCTTGAAATTTCAGTTGTTGAATGGTTATTAGGGAGATGCCATATGATCACTTCATTCAACAATGGTGATCTCAATTCCTGTTATCATTAAGTGGAATGCTGGAGGAAGGGCCAAGTCCTGGACATGGTGGGATGGGGGTCAGGGCCTCCTGGGAAGCCTGAGCCCTTACCTCAGCAGGAAGATGATTCATAAGAATGGTGGTTATTCACTAGGGTTTTGAAGTCCATTCCTCCAATGTGTCAAGGGATTTCCCCTCTGGAGAGATTTGCACATCCCTCTGTGCACTGGAGGAATAGACCTCAAGTCTGTTTAAAAAGCTAGCAATTGCAATAGTTCAGGGAGGCTCAGAACACTGACATTTGCTAGTATTTGCTCCTTTCCTTTGGGAAGGAAAACACTAGCAAATATCAGCATTCTGAAAGGCTCAGAACAGAAGGCTGGCATTTGCTGGTGTTTTTGGCAAATTTGAGGATTGTTTCTCCAGTGTGTGAGGATTTCCCCTCCCCATGTGGAGGAGAGTTTCCTTGGTGCACTTGGGGAATGAACTCACAGCATCGCCTTTGCTTACAATCTTCCCTGCTGGCTTCCACATTGACTTTCTGGGGAAGCTGGCAGAGATGATTGCAAATGGTGATCACAGGACACTTGGCAAACACTTGTAAATGCAGACAGGGTTGCCAAATGCCTGAAATGCAGTCATGTGGCCAGAGGAGGGCATTCCAGCGCAGCATTTTATGATGGCCAGAAGTGCCTTATGGTCTTCAAAGACTCATTCTGAGGCTGTCATGACTGTGAATAAATGACCGGTCCTAAGTCAAGGATTACAAGGGACTTTCAGAACAGTTTTGGACGTGCAGCTTGAAGAATCAGCAAAAAAATGGCTTTAACTTTATTCACTGGGATTTCTAGTTAGTGAGGTTTTTCCCCAGACACAACTCACTACTACAAATTTCCTCTTAGTGGTCTAAATCTAGCCTAAAGAATCTATAGTCCCAAGTATATTTTCAGAACAATTTTCAAATCTTCAATTTATAGAACCATGGTATATTTAACATGTTTGTAAGATTGAAGCATCTTCCTGTAAAACTGTCATTGTAAAACAATTACTGGTTGATAACTAGAAATTAAATATTTTTTCAGTACACGTGTAAAATATATTTCATGACTTGTGGTTCTCTCCCCCCCCCCCCCCCCAAAGCCTTGTGGTTCCATAATGTGACTTCTGAGGAATTTGGAGTTGGAGTCAATGTTTTCTGGAAGCAGCTTCCTTCTGAATACTATGATAAAACGGATACATATGGAAACAAAGATCTCACTGCAGCTTCAAGAGCAATACAGATTTTGGATAGAGCACTAAAAACCCTAGAAGAACTTCCTGAGGAATACAGAGACTTCTATGGTAGGAGAATGGCATTACGCATCCAAGACAAAACTTACAGCAGTAATTATGAATAAAAAAACATTTTTGAATACTTGTCTTAGAAACATATATTAAATTATCTCTTGTGAACCAATTAATAGGATGGCCATTGGTGTAATTTGTGCAAAATATTTCATTTTTGTTAGTTCTTGCCCTTTGTGTCTGCGTAACAATTTCAGATACTTGACTTTTCCTTCTGGCCAGGACAGCCTCTCTCCGACTGATTATGTCCAGTAAAGTATCAGTACAATCTAAGCTACTGATTGGAAGCAAAATTTGTAACTGGAATCTACAGTGTTTATTTTTTCATGCTTAGAAAATAAATTTAGAGTTTAAAAATAAATAAATTACATCTACTCAGATTAGTACTGAACAATGAACTCTGCAGTTTAGTAAACATCAAAATATTTTATTGAACTGAGTATTTTTTTAAAGAAAGCTATCTTTAATACGATACCACTTTCAATTTTTTTGTCCAATTGTCTTCTGATTCTCTATCGAAACAAAAGTATCTTAACTCCATTCAGAAAAATAAAGTTCAATTTATGTCAGCATCTACTGTAAGAAAAACATAAAATGAATTTATAAAGCCAGCTTTCAAAGGTAAATATTTCACATTGAAAATATTGGCACAGAAAATTCAGTATATCTTACACTGTGACAGAGTTAATGAGTGAAGGCATTCAATATATTATTTCCCTCTTTCTTCAGCCCCAAATCTTTCTCAATCTTCAAGAGTGAATTTGGGAAATGGAAGAACTCACTTTACTGCTAGACATTATTTCAGTAAATAGATATAATATCCTAATTGTAGATTGAATTAATTTCTCCAGAATACTGTAAGACTCACCTATTCTTCTGGCATCTTCTAATTCTATTGTGAAGCAATATGTGAATAGTGTCTAGTAAAAGCTGGATATTTTGGTTGTAGACTTTTAAT